AAAAAAAAAAAAAAAAAAAAAAAAAAAAAAAAAAGAGAGACGAAAGGTAGGTTGCAGGTACCAAATTACAACTAACCATTAGAAACTACCATTTGCCCAAGTTTTGGTGTAGTATCAAAAAATACCCACAATTAAATGAAAAAATAAAAATACATCTTTTTCCAACTGTGTATCTGTAAGGGGAAAATAAATAAATGGAGTGCCTAAACAGATTTTGAGAGTTCAGTTATCCTCTATTGAACCAATTTTTTTTCTCTCATTGAGTATTAAGCAAATTATTACAGAGATTTGCAAAGATGTAAAACAATTGCCATATTTTCACTAATCTAGGGAGGAGAAATGTAATTTTTCTTTTTGTTTTTTGTTTGTTTGTTTTTTGAGACAAGGTCTCACTGTGCAATTCAGGTTGGCCTTGAACTCCCCACGTAACCTAGGCTGGTCTTCTGCCTCAGCTTCCCAAGTGCTGGGATTATAGACACTCTCCACCACACAAGCCTAGTTATGTTTTTATTTAATGTTGTTTGCTTTACATGGTTAATGGGTAACGGATTTAATTTTGTGATTTTTTTTTTTTTTTTTGTACCGGGGATTGAACTCGGATCCTCATTCTTGTGAGGCAGGTGGCAGAACTACTGAGCTAAATCCCAGCCCTAATTTTGTGATTTTAATGAATAAATATTTTAAAATTTGGTTTCCATTTTAATATAAGTATTGATAAGGGCTGGGGATATAGTTCAACAGTGCAGTGCCTGTCTGGCAGACTCAAGGCCCTGATTTTGATTCCTGTTACCCCCCACCAAAAAAAGTATTGCTAGATAGATATAACCCACTTTAACAAAAGCTGCGGGATATAGTGATACCTGTGATCCTAGCACTCAGAGGCTGAGGCAGGAGGCTCATCAGCCTGAGCTACATAGTGAGTTTAAAGCCAGCCTAAACTGCATAGTGAGACCTTGTCTCAAAAATAAAAAATAAAAAAACTGTTTAGAGTCTTTAATAATTTTTAAGAGTATACAGGGTTTTTAGACTAAAAAGTCTGAGAACAGGACCGGGGATTTAGCTCAGTGGTGCCACCACCTGCCTTGCACGCACAAGGTCCTGAGTTCGATCTCTGGTGCCAAAAAAAAAAAAAAAAAAAAAAAAGTCTGAGACTGTGAGTTCCTCTAAACAACCCACGCTGTATTAAGCATATTTGTACATTGGAATCTGGTATGTAAATACCTCATTACCAAATGTTTATCAAATCCCACCTTATTCCTGGTGTGGTGTGTTAGAAACTAGGGATTCATAACTGAAAATGCTAATCCCTGTTCTGCAGGGACAAACAGATACAAGAAACTCAAAGTGGTACTACAAGGAGAATCACAGGGACCTGCTCCCAAGCACCTATTAGAAAGAGAGGAAGTGGTCAGGGAAAGCTTCCCAGAAAAGCTGACGCTTACTCTGATCCTTAAAAGACACCGAGGGGAAGGAAGGGCATTTTAGGGAGAGGAAACAGAAGCATAAAATGTGTGTAATTCAGTATGAATGTAGTAGGAGGTACAAGTCTGAGTACTGGGGGTACAATCGAGAGTGAAAGGAGTTGAGGCTATGGGGGGTAGTTAGGGGCCCCAACAACAGGTCTTCTTCTTTACCATATTAAGAAACGTGAGCCAGGCACGGTGGCACACATCTGTAATCCCAGCCCTCAGGAGGATCACCTGAGGCCGGCCTGGGCTATATAGTGAGTTCAAGGCTAGCCTGCACCACAAACTGAGACCCTGTCTCAAAAAAAAAAAAAAAAAAAGTAAGGAAGGGGGTAGGCAGAGAGAAAGGGAGAGATTTTTTTTTTAAATCAGGGATCAAACTCAGTACCTTGAAATGTAGAGGCAGGTGGCGACACCACTGAGCTAAATCCCAGACCCAAGGGAGGGATTTTTTAATCTTCAAAGCAAGAGGGGGTAGGGAAGGGCTTTGGAAGCTTTTACATCCTATTCAAATCGATTTTTTAAAAAGATCTTTGATAATAATGTCGAAGACAAGTTAAATGAATAAATTAATCGGGGAACAGGAGCAAGATCACGACGGACTCAGGCAGAAGTGTGACGGAAGGAGCCGTGCATGCAAGTTCAGCCGACTTTGACTAGTTTGTGGGAAGTGGGACTCCAGGATTCAGGGGAAGAGGAAACTGAAAGGAGGGAAAGAGCCTTAACCCGCCCCCACCTGGATCTGGGAAGGCTGCTGCTCGGAGGAGGCACCTTTGTCTTTCCCAGAGTTTGAGGAACTCTGCGAAGCGCTGGAGTGAACTCTGAAGGGCTGGTCAGGGATGTTTCATGTCTAATAAACCGCGAAGCAGACCCGAATGCAGTACTAAACCCCCTCCCCAAGGCCAGGCCCAGCGTTCCCACCGACCCAGCCCGTCAGCAAACCGCAGGCCTCCGCCCCTCTGCGCCTGGGGAGGGAGGTGACTCCCCGCCCCGCATCCTCCCGGGGCGCCTTCCCACTTCCTGCCCAGTACACGCCACCCCACCCAGAGGAAAACACGAAAACAGCCTTGCACCCCGCGCCCCAAGCCCGGGTCGGAGGGGTCTTCCCACCCACACCCGCTGCAGAAGCCGGGCGGCCTCTCTCCCCTTAGTCCCCAACCTCCTCCGCCCCGGTCCGGCCCCGCCTTCCCACGGGAAACATCCCAAAAAAGGGCAGAAAAGAAATTTCGGCTTAAAATTGGCCCAGAAGGGAAGGGTGCGGAGTCTGCTGGGAGAAGGGGAGGAGAGGGAGGGCGCGGGGGTTGGGGGAGAGCGAGAGGGAGGCGGGGAGGGA